TGCTAAAAGATTCCAGTTGTAATCTTCTATCGCAAGAGCTTTGGATTTTTAATTATACATAATTTCACATTTATTTGCGACCAAGCTACCATGAGTTATTCCATTATTTTGTATCTCTCGGATTATTACTATTACTATCCATACTTCCATTTTTATTGCCATTTTAATTCGATGACTGTCTCTTAAAAATTATTAGTCCATAAAATTGAATTTTTTTTTCTAAGGGTATAACATAAAACGTACGAGACCCAGGCTGTAAAAAAATTACTTGTATGGATGGTAAATTATCTTTGGAATATGTAGTGCAATTTATTTTCTGAAGCACTGAATACTTATAATTCAGTGGTCCTTTATTTTTGGATATTTAATCAGTCGTCTACACTTTTTGCACTTAATTATTTGTTCTCTTAAATTTCTTGCAGGTGACCATTTTCTTTAATAATCTCAAAATTGTTTTACTTTCCGCCCAGGACTCGCTGCAAACCGAAATTATATTTTTTTTTATTTTACACGATGATCGTATACCTGCAGTTTCACGAGTTCTTTCTTTCCTGATTTTTTTTATTTTCAATGCCCCTTCCCCTTTTCGAGGGTGAAACATCGTTTTTATGGCAGCCGTACACAGAAAACACTTTACTTAAAATACCGAGATTTACAACGTAATCTACGGGCTTTCTGATCTTGTACAGTATGAGTTTGGAAATGTAAATTACAAGCTAAAACCACGGAAATTACGCTCGGAACTGTCATAAATTACGATTTTTATGTGGTAAATTACGAGGTCGATTCCGTAAATAACGGGGACTCATATCGTGAATTACAAGTTTCAACCGAGTGAATTACGGGGGTCGGAGCCTGTAATTTACGCTCCCTTTCTCGTCTCTTACGACATCTCAAGCACGTAAACTCTGTGATTAAGATTGTAACACATATAGAAAAAACTTTTTTGGGCAGCATCAAGTATTCAAGTTTGAGGATATTTTGGATCATCTTAACATGACTTTCAGTGACTTTTTTTCAACATTTTTACAAAAGAATTTTTTTTATTTCGAAAATTTGAGAAACCTCCAAAGATGAAAGAAATCCAAGGTGGCAAATTCTGAGAGAAATAATTAGGTATCTTCCATGGTTTCCGTAAAATTTTCCAAATTTATAAAAATTGCGGAATTTTCAACATTTTTGTCATTTTTAAAATTCTTTTGGAAAAATAGTTTTAAAAAATCACTTAAAGTCAAATCATCTCAGGCGTGTATAATGTTTTCTATGTGCGGTGATTCTCCACTCCACGAAGCGATCAGGTTGCAAGCAGAAATCATAAAATACTCATTTGATGCACTCCCTTCATACAATTATTTTCTAATTGCGCAATTATATTCAGTATCTATGAAATTCCAAGTTCCTACACGAAGAACAATTTACCATAAAATTCATCAGGACGTTTAAAAATTCGGCATTTGAGCTCTGACTTCGCGGCAAAATCAAAATCCTGAAAACTATCAATTTATTTAAAATTTCCAAAAATTATTTCCATACATTTTTCCAAGAATGCTAATTTTTAGTACTACATTCCAATTTGAAAAAAAAACACTTCCCGTGGCTGACCAATTTCAAAAGCAGATGTGCTTTACCCCGCGAATGAAAACCCAATGAATTCCTCCCCTACTAAAAATCACAAATTCAAACAAACCCGAAACATCCATCTAAAAAATATCACCTCCCCCCGATAAATCGGATAAATCCACTCATTCAATCCAAAAGAATCTTTTTCCACCCGATAAATCCCCCGCCCCTATCCCCAAAAAATAAAAAAAAAACGCCCAGAATAAAAGTCACCCCCGCTGTTATTTATCCCAGCTAAACCGCGGTACATAGAATTTTCAGAGGTGCTGGTTAGGACACAGAAGTAGTGTATCCTCCGAATTTTTGGCTGGTGTAACCGAACAAGCACGCCCGCTCGGCCGAGATTGAATTATTTTTCTCCAGGAATAATTTTGCCATAAAATAAAACTCATATAGCTATATATAAGTTAGAGTGTGGTACGTGGGCATGAGAATAAAGGGAGGGGAGGGGGATGGGGGGGTGAGTTGGAGGTGGCGGTGAAAAAAAAGGGTAAAAAGGGGTAAAAAGGGGTAAAAAGGGGTATGAGAGTTGCACAGGCGCAGCCTCTACAGCTGCCCGATCCCACCGAGAGTCGCTTTGGTGTGCCCCCTGCCCACTCCCTTACAATTCTGGCTATTTTCCTTCACATTTTCTCATATTACATTCTAGATATAGGGAAGCTGAAAATTCCGGCCCTTCTCCGCTGTTTCTGTCAGTGAATATCTTACCATAATACTTACCCTTCTCATCTTTCCGGCTCTTGCCACTCAGCCCGCGCCAAAAACACGGTGGGCGTTTGAATTGAGATCGTCCTAGTGCAGAAACCCGTCTGAACAAGAGAGAAAAGTGTTTGGAGTTGACATATTATACTGTATCGTTTACTTCCGTTACACAGCTGCAACAACAACAACGCAGCCTCCAGCAATATTTGCTAAGTTTTATAACCACACCACCGCGAAAACTCTAGGCGATGTGCGTTATAACCGACGAGTAAACAATATTCACGCTACGATAATAGTCCAGGGGATGTGTTGATATATATCTCTAGTGATACCCTCGGCTTTGCTGCTAATTTTAGTACTGGTTTGTGCCTGGGATATCGCCGGAAATTTTTCCTCAAATTCGTTGAAAGGATTGATTTTACTGGTGTTACTGCGGCAGGTCATGAGGTGCTTTTCCACGGATATGATCTAGAGCTCGTTATGTTATTCGAGGTAATTCATTTCGGTGCTGATATTTTCCCAGGAATTCGGGTTTTGATGAAATGAGAATTCTCTCCCGGGTATTGTAAATCGATTGACTCCGTTATTGGGAAATTTAACTGTTGTTTGCGTTCTGTCGTATCGTTTGGTCGGGTAATAACTAGATCCATCGGGATGTATTTGCTTGAAAAAAAGTATTTGATAGTAGAAAGAATTTTTCGATGGTACAAAAAACATTTGTCAATTTAAAAAACGAATTTTCTTCATTCTGGCAATTCTGTTTCGACATATTTTCCTCTAGGATGAACGAGAACCGCACAATTTTCCATGAAAATTATCAAAAATCGGGAAATCTTCGATAAATGATTCCTCCCAAAAATTCCATGTAATTCGCTACTGAATAATTACGACTCATGACCAGGAATTCTGTCAGTGTTTCAATCAAATTTACAATTGAATTGTTATTTTCCATTGAACTTTTAACGGGCGATTTTTAACAGTAGATCGTAAACCATCCATGACCCAGCAGTAAAAATTCCAACCACACTTCACCAAATAACAAATCAACTATACCACTAAAAGCTCATTACCGTGTGATACCTCATTCATTACTTCTCCACAGAGGCGCATCATTTTACGTTGAGCCATTGTTCATCAATATCTATTGAACGTCCACTGTGTTATCCAAACGGATTCCGAAGCTACGGTTGCATTTCAACTAAAACCTCCATTCATTCCTCCTAACAGTATTACGTAACCTGTTGAAATTGAAACTAATCCATCAGAGAAAGATTAATTAATTTGCCCGCCCCCTGAAAGATCGGTTCTCAGAACTCACCCCCAGCCCCTCGTCAGCCAATTAAAGGCTACACTACCCCAGAAGATATAAAAATGAGAGGCTAAAAACCTTTTAACCTCAATCCCGTTTTCTTCATTTGCCCATCTTCTCAAGAAAATACTATTCTCATGATTTTATAATGTACAACGCCAACCATAATGTGACAGAACCGCAGGGCAAAATATTTTTATCGTGGAGTACCAAATAAAGCAAACAAGAAGAATCATAAAAATGTATAATAAACCTAGTGGAAACATAAGTCGTCCACTAAAAATGCATCGCCCTTTTGCATATCCCGTGATGTTTTACGTATACAATAGGGTAAAACTCGGAGAAATGAACTGATGATAAAAATAAATTATTCAGTATCAAACAATGAAGAAACATCACTCAACTCAAAGCAATAATCAATCATCCTGCTATTTTTGAATTGAAAATGTGAAATTGTGACAATCGACTTATGACGCTTTCTCAGCAATCAATGACTCATCGATGAGAACATGAAATAAAACAAAAATTATCAATCATTTTGGCTGTTTTTTCCTAATGTAAAAATGTCAAATAAAACAGTTAGACAGATAGGAACAGAGTGGATTTGTCAGGGAAACCATTGCCCTTTGCAATATACATTTTTTTCATTTCGCCGCCATAAAACTGAAGTAACTCTGCTACTGATTCTCATTGCTTCGTTGGGATCGACAACACATTTCATTATGTCCTATCTACATACTTTCCCTCAACACGGGGTGTAAATCGTAGAGAGTAGCTTTTCGCTGCACCCGCCATTCACTCTGTCTCCTTTGCCCTGTCCCTGACAGAATGTCCTGTACTTCCACTACAGATCCAACATATAAGTGTAAGAAACCGACTGTTCCATTATTACATTCCAACTCCACCGGACCTGTAAATTCGAATCTCACGGTTGAATTTCGCAGGAATATGCTCGTAGAGAAGTGTTAGCAATGGAGCTAGTTGAAAGACTTCTTCCTTCAATACTTTAAATTTCCGTTCTCTCCGTCTCCATTTTATTTCAATGTATTCACCATCCCCAATAAGCAACGGCAGCAGATGCCGGCCCCGAGGATTTTTATCATATAGCCATGTCAGAACGGTTATTCCCCAACTCCCGTTGAAAAAGTCGACGATCTTGAAAATTTTAGTAGCAAAAAAAAAGGACTCGAAACTTTATCCACTTGACTGCTCTCTTCTCTCACTATCTCTATCCGTCAGATTTTACTTTATTTTTCTCTCTCCTTTTTATTTTTAACTCGTTTTATATCTCACTTCTGGATGGGAAAATGATGAAGTTCTTCGTTATTGGGTCGGACATTTTTTTTTATAAAGTCTCTGTGTCCCACAGATGTGCCGAGTTTTGCCACGGCAATTGGAAACGTGACGGTGGCCAGCGGCCGTGAAGCCATTTTGTCCTGCACCATTAGGAGTCTGGGAAAGTACAAGGTAAGTCTATCAGTTTGATAACATTCAATGATTTCAATATATTCCGAGAGGGACTGTACAGAGTATTCAAATTAGAATAAAAACCAAATTAGCCGAGATTGCCCTTTCTTTCTATTTTTATGACAAATTGTTAATCGCCTTGAAAAATCCACATTCAGCACTAGATTTTTTTCGTCCTCTAGTTCAATAATAGAATGATTGAAGACGTAACTCAGTGGAAATTTAGAATAAAATGTTCTCTGGAACTTAATCATAATCACACAAGCGGAAACCATCAAAGGATTGATTAGTTAATTAATGATCATGGTATTTCAGAAGGTAAAAATGTTGAGAATGGATCCCTCATTCCTCGTTCAATGAATACCTGAAGTACTTTCATGAAAGGACAATTCTACCCATGACATTTTTGTACAGTATAAAATTCTTTCGTTAACGAATGAGTTAATGAGTTAACGAATGAATGAAGGAAAAATGTCAGGAGGTTTTCCAAGCTGAAAAAAAAATATATAAAAAATTTCTCGACATGTTCTCATTAAATCACAGAGTATCAAAATGATTTCACTGAAATTTGACAGGATGTGCTAAATCGACTCGTCTCAGCGCCGATTTTACAGGAACTCGGATAAATTCCCTCTGGAGAACGATTTAAGTTAAATAGGAAAACTTTATATTTGACTTCACGAAAAGGTCCAGAACCTTTTTCTACTGCCAATGAAATTTTATACAAGGTAGATTTTTTTATACTTCACCTCAGCACCACTCGCTACTGAGGTAATTGAATAATTAGTGAGATAAGTGATGTCCGCCCCTCTGCTACTTGTTTACGAAATCCTGGTTGTAATATATAGTAAATATATTCACTTCTCCATTTTATGTTTCCTCTTCGGTGAGAGAGAAGGAGAATCCCCCATTTATCGTTGGAATTCTGTAACGAATGTCAATAATTCCGGTATTTAATTCTCCATTGACAATCGAGAAAAATAATGTTCAATGGGTAATAAAATTTTTTATTATCTTTAATCCTGATTTTAATATAACTCCAATAAACTCGAATACGATACGGCAACAATTTTCTCTTTCTTTCTTTCTTTATTTATTTTTGCGTTTTCAGTGAAGTCACTGGGAGAAAAACGACTTCCTGCGATAAAACGATTTTTGTTG